TAAGTGTAGGTGTATACATGTATGCTGCGTATACAGTATACACATACTGTAAAATATACATATACATGTATACTGTATACTATATATGTAAGTTTTGGGGCGGATACCCCACTTTGTTGCAAGCATCCCATCAGCTCAATAGAGTTCAGGCTCGTGTTTCAGGAATTACGCTGCGTCAAACGCAGCTCCTAGCGAGGTCTCCGGCGTGTCCTTCATGCAAGAGGAGGACAGCGTTTTGCTCCCAATGCACCAGGCTTTGGCCAGTCCTTTGGCCACCCCAGTGTGCCTGTTGCTTGGATTGACCGGGCTCACTGTGTGGATGGAAGGGGCAGGGTTGAAGCGCCCATGACAGTCTACCTAGATGTAGGATTTCCTTTACACGTTTACGACGTTTTACGACGGCCGAAAATGGTTTTGTCCCTAGGTCACTGTCAAAGACTTGTCGCTTCATAGCAATGCTGGAACCCTTGGTGTTGGTGGGTGCTTCACAACAAGGGGGCAATTGTTAGTTAGCTTGCTCCATGAGTTGGAGAGAAAGATATGTCATGAGATGTCTATGCATATTTAAATTTACAGTGAAATATCATTACATGTTTGAGAGGATTATGATGTCTTGTTAAAGGTAGAACATACCGGGAGAAGAGAAGCGTGCTTGTGTAGAGATGTTTTGTCAAGCCCCGATGTCATCAGCTATGATACATCATAGCATGAAAAGCAGACGAACGCGACATGCACATTGCACTGCTGCAATGTGCACGGCCTCGCAATGAAAGCGGGACCCAGACCATGAACATCCATGAGCCATGCTCCTCTCCTGCGTTTTCACGGTCGATCTCGGAGTCTCATGTCCTTCCAAGGCTGTTGGCGTTCTTTACCCTTGCGATGCTTTTGGTGCAGCTGGGATGCAGGGAATTGAGGGTAGCAAATGGATGTGCCCAAACCCTCGAGATGCATTCTTTGGGGCGTGTCCTCGGCAAAGGCGCCACTGGGGTCGAGATAGGATGCCCGATGCATTTGTACCAGCCGTTTGGAGGCCGGAGTCAGAGTCCAATTTGTTGGACAAAGCCAGAAAGTGAACACATCGTGAAACCCCTGAAAGACGGGCAAACGCAAGGAATTTGGGGCGGTCCCGTGTGGCGGTCGAGCCTTCTCGCTTGAAGGCTCCCTCGGCTGAGGCGCTGCTGGATGACGCTGCGGGGCGTTCGGCCTTCAGCGCCCAAGTCAGTGGACGCTTGGTGCGTGAGCCGCCTGGAGACGCCACTGGGACTGCTGAAGAGGTCACTCGCGGTGGAGGTCCCAGGTGAATCCGACACCGGTTTGGCCAAACCTTAGAGTCCTGGAGGCCTTTGCATGAGGACTTCAAGCCATAAATAACGATGAGGGGTTACAGACTAGTTCTGAGACTTCAGGAACATCATTGGTTTGTACCAGTCCCTGCTGCCTAAGGAAGCTGTCCCCTGAGAACGAGGAAGGATGGCTTTGTGCAGAGCTGGTGGTGCCCAAGAAGAGCCACTGCACAATTTTTGTGCCTGACATCGGTCGCAATGGTGGAACAGCTGCCTAGCGGAATAGTTCAATTTTGAGAGGGGAGGACTGTGCAGCACAAACTGGGGCATGTTAAAGTGATTGATGAGGGCCTAGAAAGGCTGGCGCCTGCAACCAATTCGCTTGAGCTTTGCTTGACACAGGATTCGTTTAAATTTAAAGGCTTGCGCACTTTACACTTTTATGGCCTCGGAGGGCTATTTAAGGTCTGACAATGACATGCATACTACGTCAAAACCGTGGTCATGCCACAGGAGAAACTCGTTTCACATGGATCAACATGTTGTTTGCGGGTGTCACTGAAGCAAAAAGACCACACCACTCAGATAGTATTTGGATGAAAGATCAGTTGGATGCATTTTGTAGGTGCGGCCTTTGCAAAAGCGCTTGGGATGCTGAATGCTGACCAGGTATGGTTTCGATATGTATCAGCACGCTGCAAGATTGGATTGAGATGGATTAAGTTTTAGTGAGTTTGCTAGACCGTGGCTCTTGAATGAATATGCCTAGGCTTTGGTGACGGACAAGATGGGTCAAACCATGTTTCGCAGCAGCACAGCTGCTGGGATGCACAGTTTGGTCGTGAGGAGCCAGCCTTCTCCCAGATATGGTTGGTTTACATACGCTTGGGACAGTTTTCTCAGACTACCTCAAGCCCCAAGCTACCACAAACCCTATATAGAGTAGGTCTTTTTGGCCCTTCACTTTTGCTTCTTGATTTGGGCCTTCACCTTGACAGCAGAGTAAACAGCCTGCAACTGGCTTGCGGATGGTGGCCCTGGGGGACTCCTGAGGCTTCGTTTGGGTTCGATATGAACATCGTTGAACACTCTTGAAATTAAGATAGAAATAGCGTCCACGTGGTTCCTTTGTTCCAAGATCGGATTTTCCCGGTCCACCACCCGGTCCATCGCCACCATCCGGTCGTTGATCTTGCTCGATGCCCACCGGGATCCGCCCCAGCGAGGTGGAGGTGGATGGGGAGCTTCAGATCTCCCTGCGGCGGCCCAATGGCCAGATGTTGGCCAACGGCTCCTTTGGCGACAGCATTTGGGCAAAGTGGACACGGTGTTTGTTTTTTTTTGTGTGTGTGTGTGCGTGACCCGCTTTGCCACAGCGATCTTCTGGCTTTTGGCTTTAGGATGCTTTAGGAATAGGAGAAGCAATCTGCTTATCAATGGAACGCTTGTGGGAGGGACCATGCAAACGCCATACTGCTATAGTCCGTCATATTGGAGTCTATCTTCCTGGGTGGTGGCCATCACAGGCTTTGGATGGAGAAGTGCGATTCTACCAGATTTTGGAGTGCGCTTGATTCTGCCTAAGTTCAAGTTGAGGGACAACATCCCAGAACGATATCAGATAGTGATAGAGTTAGAGAGAGATAGAGACAGGACACGGCAAAGACCAATTTAAATGTATACATGTTTTGAGTTTTGACGTGGGCAGTGGGGAACACCAAAAACGTCCCTTTTGTTTTAAGGAGTTTGTTCTCACCACTTTATCTAATTATCGTGCTAGTCCTCGTTCACTTGACCTGCTATGTTTCGTCTCCAAAGCGGAGTATCGGCCTCCCAAGGTCAATTGTCTGGACAGAGCTCATGTCAAATTTTCCAGGGTGCTGAGCCGTTCGCCTCAATCGACGCTTTGGAAGCAAAGAGGAGTTTGGACCCAAATTAAATCAATCACAAACGAGCTGGGCCAAAAAAGCTTGGATGGCCAGATGTCCTGCCCGGACTTGAGCAAGTTCAGAAGAATTCAAAATGCAAGCTTCAAATCGACACAACATACAGCCAGTCACTCAGCAAGTGGGCCCATAGTAAGAACAGACGATGTTCGAAGATAAGTTTCTGGTTTGCGAAGGAGGTTGACGCAAGCCGCACATGGTTGTTCCCATGCTCCCACCACCAATGCCAACATGAACTTCAAAAGCATATCAAAACATCACCTGATTCCCGCTTAATAACAAGAACAGCACGCCTCGCGGCCTCGCTCGGGTAACCCGGTTGCGATCTTGACAGGAATGGGAAGACGCTCAACGATCTTGGTTTTCCAAGTCCATGCCTGGCGCCTTCACCGTTCGTTCCTCCTCCGGTGTGGTCCTTCTTCGGGTGGAGGCGGACGCCGCGTGAAACTGGAGACACCGAACCGGATCGAACTGGAACCAGAGTGTGCCAAATTCAAATTCCCATTTCTGTTGTTCAACCATCCAGGTGACAGAGCAAACAAATGGCGGAGAGTACCCAGAAGCAGGTGATCCAAAAACTTTGCTTGAAATGTGGATAAAGCCCAAATATTACATGCCAGATTTTTGCTTTGAGAGAGTACCCCGCCTCCCACAGGGTCGGGTGTCAATAGTCGAGCCTGGTCTTCCCAACCATCATAGTCGACCAAATCCGTCGCTGATGGAGCACTCATAGATCAAAACCCATTGGGTGTCTCCCTATTCAATCCATAGACACAGCAACTCATCAAAATCTTCACGCGATGCCAGAACGTGGATGGAGCACTGCGATTTTCCGATGACTTTGGCGCCGTGGGTGTGGCCAAGCATGAGGCAGGCATCCTGCGTGTGGAGGCCGGGTTGATCGTTGGCCCAAAGAGACTTTTCAGAAGCCGCAATAGAGTTGGATGGGAGGCCCCAGCAAGGATATGAATGCACTGAAGCAAGCACGGCACGGTGTATCCAAGTAACTTGTAACCTCTTATAATATAGGAACGTATAGTAGCCGTATGTCCACTGATGTTGCTTCTTGGCCGTAATTTGTTGGCCACTGTTTTGGGTCACAGTAGTGTAATTATCCAGAATTGAGGCTTGCAGTTGGGTTGGGCACACTACAAATTTTAGAGCAGCTGAGGTGAGAAGCGAGCGCAACACTGACTTGGGGCTAGTGACACTAAGCGCTCTCTCGATCCGTTCCTTCAGTGAAGTCACTGAGAGGAAGCCAGGAGCCTTCTAAACGCCTGCGCAACTGAGCATCAAAAGGTGAGCGGCAAGATCTTATGACTATTCCACCCTGAACCAGATAGCGATGAATAGTACTCGTAGTTGGAAGGCTTGGAAGGGAATTCTCATATGAATGCACTGTTTTTTTATATATTGTTTCCGATGTTTTTTTTCTAGATTCTGTGGTGCTGCTCGTGCCATTTCGCCAAGCAGTTATTCTACGCATCGAGCAGGTGCATCGAATCCACCAGGGTTCCCGCCCTTCTTCCATTCTTTGTGTCAAATGATCATTCAGATGTACAAGCTTTGGTGGACCGCTTGTCACAAGGATCCAGTAGTAGGGGCAAGGCGAACCTGAGTCAACAAATCCTGGCTAGAACCAACTCCGCGTGCAAATGTCAACTTGATGAATCAGAGTCAGACTGGATGAAAACAAAAACATGTTGATACAACAAGGACGAGGTTTCTTCGGGGGCCTCCTCCGGCCCGTTCTTGCAGCGTCACTCAGGACCGAGAGCACCGACTTTGACCATTTGCGGCGTCAGGAGCTACTTCGAGAGGCGGGCAGGGCACCGAGTCTTTGGGGTGACAGGGAACCCACAAAAAGGCAGGCAACAACACTGTTTTGAGATATATATTATAGTAATTGCTTAATTTGTCCCTTTTGGGGTCCGAATATGTTCAAATTGATTTACTTGGATGGTCCAAGTTCAAGAGGTTCTTTCTATAGACATCCATATGGTATCAAGTGTCGATTCTGTTGGGTGGAGTTGTTTCCTTCTTTACAAGCTTCCAAGCTATCTGACCATTTCTCGTCCTAAACCAGCCGTGTTGTTCTTGAGGGTTGTGTTTAGGGACTCTTGTTTTCTTTTTTTTTTTTTTGCTGAGTTCGTATTCATATGTGTGTACACCCTAATATGTGCATATACTATCATATACTATGTAGTTATGCTATGATACGGTATGCGTTTTGTGTCAAAAGGTCAAAGTTCCTTCCGCTGTGAGGTAAACCAATGAGGGAAGTCCATGGGCAGTAGCACTCGATGTCGGTCAACAATGTAGTTCATTGCAATGATTAATTGGAGGGGAAGTTGATTACTGATTATACTGCAATGCTACACTGTTGATGACACTCGCTAACCATCATTCTCGGATGTTTTTGCATCCCATGGGTAGTGCGAAGTCCATATCAACAGTGCTTTAGGTTGTTTTTTCCCCTTGTTTTGCAACTGAGATCACCTTAGTGGGTTTTCACTATAATTATCTATAAATAATATACTCATGGCATGTGTCCCAAATCTTGGGGTTGCACAGTACAGGCATTAACAAACTCTACCATACGCAGGCCAAATACCCACTGGGCATTGAGACAAAATTAAAGGGAATGATTCCGGGAGCGTCAGCCAAATGCCAGGTTCGAATGATCAAGAAGGCAATGAAGGCTCGACATCGTCAGCATTCGGGGTTTATAATATAGACCATTTGAGTGCCAAGCCTGGCATGTATACTGAGTCAAGGTGTGGAATGACCATATGAATTCTACCCGATTATTCCGGTCTTTCCTCTGACTGTGACCCGTCTTTGCCCTCTTTCTTCACCGACTCTTCCGCTGGCGATGCCCCACTCCGCAGGAAGACTTCGACCTCATGGGTGCTTTTGGCCGTTTGTTCGCCGTGCCACGGCGGTGCACTGACATCGACACGGCTGGACGTGGTGTTCTACACGGGGAAGTGTTCAAGGCTGCTTCCCACACGGATTCAGTGGCTGTGGCTCATCCCCCAAAGCTGGCCAGCTGATCTCAAGACGAATGCCATGAATCAAGATGCACCAACAAAAGAACCATCGCTTGGTTTGCGAGGCCATGGTCAACAGGTTAGGATCGCATCGCCAGGCGCTGTGTCAAGGCTTTGGGCTGGAGGAGTGCTTCCTGCGAGGATTTGGAGAAGAAGAGGAGATTTGCCGGATGCGAATTGTACCGCCTGAGTGATATAAGTGAAGGACTTCACTGGCCATTGGATGAACACAGAAGAGTCTGGCATATTGGCAACTTCCAGTGACCAAGTGCTAGATTCATTCGTGATTTGGCACCGACAGGTTACTGTAATATTCAATATGAATATGCATCATATTAATCACTAGTGAATAGTCTGAATAGTAGTGCAGTGCTAATCAAGTTGTATATATACCATTAGGATCATGGGTCCTCTGAACGGTCGAGGACAGCCGAGCTCAGCTGAAGCGCTGCCTGAAGGGCTCCCAGCTGCGCTGGAAGAGGATCTTTGGCAGCGACGGGCCGGTCAAGCTCGAGGCGGGAAGATGCCCGTGGAAGCCACTCCCCCGAGGAATCATGGATGTGCAAAACCATGTAAAACCACCGGTTTGTATAATACTGGAAAATAGTCATCCTTGCGGGGCCATCCACGTAACGATCCCGGGAACTGTATCGTCCCAACGAAAAACTCCACAGCCTCTGGCGCATCAGGTCGTTGACCGTTCCGATTCTGATCCCATCCACGCAGACTCACAGCGACAGAGACACACGCCGCCCATGAGTTCGTATTTGGGACTTCCGGTCGGTGTTGCAGGATGTTGGTATCAGAATGAAGTGCGTACGCATTTGTTTTTTTGATGTCATTATATAGCATAGAAAACGAGCTGTAATAGTAATATACTCAAGAAATCTCAACCAGGTTACCAGAAGGCCTTTTCAGTGCGGTGCTCTCACTAAGTGTACTTCACACGTGTACAGTTCTCATATTTGACAGCTTGGAACCTGATGCGTGCGCAGGGAGCGGAGCTTCGCGAACAAAAGCTCGCGCCAGGTGTGCTCCGGCACAGGAGACTGGGTGGTGGCGCAGGCCTTAAAAGATCCAGCGGCCAACTGGGTGGCCAGCCACTGGGAGAAAGGGAGAGGTGCAGACGGCAGCGAGCAGACAAATGGGAGACCCAAACTAGGATCCGCTTGGATTTGGTGATCAAGTTTCCGTATTTATTTTGCGTTGATCATATGGTCAGGAGTATGGCAGTGGTGTTTGCCCACCCAAGCATGATAAAGCGGACTTTGACCGCCAAAATCGGTCAAAATAGCGAAGGAGCTTCCAAAAGACAAGGGTCGCTGGCGTTGCATTTCCGGGCTGTGTATTGGCCTGACACCTGGGTGACGAGGCTGTTTGCCAAACGAGGACGAGAGTCGGCATTCCAGCTACCAACCAGAACATCATGCAGGGGTTACACAGGTTTAAAGACCACGGCAGTTTTGTTCATTTTTGAGATTTGCACAGAAAGATATGTTCATCAACATCCCATGCACATGGAAGAGTAAGCTCATTGTACTGCAAGCAAATTCAATGATTTGCTTGCAGAAGTCACGATTTGATCAACGTCCCCCTTTTTCAATCCAGAGAGCACGCAAGGCCGCCTGAAAGGCAATTCCTTCTATTGGCGATATACTGTATGTGCTTTTCCATGCACTGTGCACATACCTCTGGATCTTTGGTGAAAATTGCAGAATCATTCACCCGCGCTCATACTTCCCAGGAAGGTCAATAGAGTTTGCGCACAATGCCCCCACTGAGGTGAGTTACGCTATGACCGTGTTTGGAGCATCGTGACCAAGTCTGTGACATGGTGCTGACTGGAAGCGGCTCTAAACATGGTAGAAGGTGGACAAAGATGATCTCACGTGGTTGAGAAGAACTCAAATCCAGTGGATACATTGAGCTCTATTTTTCCGTATTCCGGCCGGGTCCAAGGGTTCTTTTCGTGCCATATTGACCAACCAGTTGCAGCATGCAGATGTTTAATCCTGCTGGGCATTGAGGAAAGAAACATGGTGAATAGTGACATGGATGTTTACTGTATATATATATAACATTCAGTTGGTTGGACCTAGGTTGAACTGTTGAATCATGTTGAATCGAAGGAAAACCTATAGATATATATATATATATATATCGACAATTATAAGCTTTAGAAACTTTAGTCGCTGCACATCGAACAGAAAGCATCACAGCAATGACAACACAGCACGTCATGAACCACTAACTCCGGGGCTGCTGAGGTTTTTGAGAAGTGCTCGAATTTGGCGGTCCTGGCAGGCTGAAGTGGCTGGTCGGTCGGACCTGTTCGCTGTTCGGTCTTAGGGAGTTCGCTCAACAGCACTTTACGGAGGCTTCCAGCCAGGCTTCCTATGTTGAGCTTCAGTCCAAGAAGAGTTCAGGAGAGGTCGACTTTTTTGACCGACTGCACAGGTGATGCCGGATCCTTTCTCAAGAGCATGATTCCAGAAGGCCGGCCTGTGAAAGATCCTTAGAATGCTAGTCTGGCAAGTCCATTCTACTTGACTCCGGGTGCACTGCTTCTGCTCACAAGTCGCACGTGACTCCCTTGAGTAAGGACGGTGTCAGAATAAGCGAGCGATTTTGAGCTTGGGTTATGGTTGGATTTGTCAAGTAGGCGAGTTTTTAGATAGCACCCTGCTAAAAATACCACCTGACCCAAGCCGGAAGGTTTGAGTAGTAGGGAGTGTGGCATATCAAGAAGACCTTTTCCTCCTTGTTGTTGCAACCAGCAAGCATAGCAAGCACTGTCCTGGACTGTGTGACATGTCCTTCTTTGATGTCACCGTGTGCTTGCCGGTGGTTGGACACAACTCTTGAGGCGATGACATGTCCATTCCTGGCTCCCGAAGAAGCCGTCGTGCCGACCACAATATGAGCATCATGTGTTTAGGCAACGCATCAGGTGTTCACAAGAAGCATCCAGAAACATTTGAAGATCTAAAGCAGCCTGTTATTCAGAAAGCATGGTCTTTACGGTAAACACCTTGGGCTTTCTAGACAGAAAGGATATCCTTGTGACCAGCCCATGTTCTTCCATTTTGCAGGAAGCCTCAGCACCATGTGCATCAACTTTCCCGAGCCCCCGCAAACCACCAGCACCTTGGTGACGCGCGGACGACGGGGCAGTGTTAGGATCCTTCTGCAGGTGCAAGGCAGATTGAACTCCACCGAAGGTGTACATTCTTCGGCAGATTTGTATCTGAGCGTGCGGGAGTCACTGTCCCAGGGGTGCAGCCCAGCTTCATTCCGTGGTTCCTGAGTCCTCCATCGAACAAACTTATAGTTTGGGGAGCCTCTAACTTTCAACTGACTACTTTGTTCCATCATTCTTTACAACCTGGCAATCTTCAGCTGTTGCCAGTTCCTTTGCAGCTCTTTGTGTGGGTGTAGAAGGCCATGGCCCGACTCAGCTGAAAAGATGCCATTTCATCAAACGGCCCTTGCAGTTGATGGTTCCGATGCTTCAGTATGCACAATCTTTTTGACCCTTTTGGCCCACGGTGGAATGACCTGGTCATAGTTCACCCACTTCTGGTTTGTTTCCACCTGGCTATGGGTCAGGGATGGTCAGGGTGACCTGAAATTGGAGTGCGGGAGGGGCATGCAAGGACAGTGGATCTCCTCCTTGCAGAAAACCGACTGTCAAGTGATGATTCCCGCAACAGCCAACAGGCTTTGACACATTAAACTGCCGGTGTATGCTTATGGATGAACCACCACCTACCTGGAATGTTTTCCCAGGCCTGTGTGTTGAAGACTTAGAGTAGATCCTGATCCTGATCCCAATAGAGGCCTTTGCCCTGCAACAATCCCTGCGTTTCTAGTACTATACTCATCGGTGAATGGTCAGCTTGCGGTGGATTGAAAGTAAATGACTCAAATGACTGCAGGAGCTGAAAGGTGGCTTATGTCGCCAAAGAAACACCTGGTTTACAGGGGGGAAACATGTATTTTGGAACCTCTGCCAGATCTTAAGCTCCGGCATCAGGAAATGTGCCTTGCAAGAACTGCAGCGGGTTTCTTCTTGTGGGCGAGATGGGGGAGGCTTTGGGGACTGCTGAGACGGTGGGCCCTTGAGATTCACAAACGCTGACTGAACCCGGAGTTCTCATTTCCGCTTATATATACACTCATGTGGGGTGAAAAAAGCAACCCCTTGCAACTGCTGGAAGGTTCTCCCTTAGCAAGAACTCTGCATTTTGACACTGTTTTATGCGTGTTTTACTATGGAGAGTGTGATGGTCTTTCAGCTGAGGCAACATGTGTTTATGCCTTTGTTCATGCTTGTTCATTATGTTTTCCTTGAGTGCTACACTTGGGTAGCAGTGTCACACGCAAAGGCCGTACCAGAGGAAATTATGTCCTTACTATAAATGATTAGTTAACTGACACAGGTCCTGGGTCTTGAACCAATCATTGTGCTCGGGAAGGCTTTTTGATGTTGCCCGTGAGGTACAGTGCAACTTCTGAAGCCAACTATATAAATATATATAAATAGATAGATAGATAGATAGAGAGAGAGATGTATGCTACCAATACTGTAAAGCACGATGTTTTCACAGAAAAGGTAGGTACTGATATACATAGCATGTTTTGAGGGCCCAAGTTTGAGTTCTTTGTTGGGGAGCGTTGGCAACTATCAGGCAAACATCGCAATTCTTCCACTACCCAGGCCTCCTGTGACGATGCTGAGTCCTATCTCCACCTTTTGACCTCAGAGTTCTTTATTGAAGCCCGGAGAAAAATGAGAATAAGAATGTCAAGCTATGACATGTCGACGGGTTACCACTAAAGCCTTTGGACCCAGCAGATCGCCAATCTGGTGTGATCGCATGTCTTTGGGGTTCCACCCGGATCGACCCTAATCAACCTTCCACAACGAAGACGCTTTGATATACTCGACCGTTCCACTCGGCGTTTCAGCATGGATTTGCTTGATTCTTGCCCACCTGCATTGCGGTTGCTCATGGTTGTTCGCATTTTATCTTGTGCACTTTCGGAAGGATACCGGGGCCGCTTGTAGACTTGTAGAGTGCTTTTTGGGGGGTTCAGCCTTCTAGCCTCAGCTCCATCCTTCGCTACGTCCAATTGACACGGACCTATCCACCCATTTTCGCAGCCCAGGATGCTCATTCGGCCTTGGTACCGGGGGGCGTGCGGCTTCTTGGTCCGCGCGCGCGCGCGCGCCGAACGCGCGGAACCCACCGACGCCCAACTCGGCAGGTCGGCAGGTCGACCGCGTGGCGTCAGTTTTGGGGTCGGACCTCAGACGTCTCTTTTTCGTGTTAAGGGTTGCCATACTTCAAGGCTAAAAGGAAAGAGGCCCAAAGGATCCACATTCATTAGCTGAGTTTGACGGATCTTTCTTGCACGTAATTATGGGATATCAATAGGAGGGATGGTTGGAGTATGGTTGGATAAGATTTTGGTGTGCTGGGATTTGCCTGAAGACACATCATTTAAGCAGTGCCGACGGAGATGATGTTGGAACAAACCCATTGAATCAAGTCTGCCGGATGTTGATCAGGAGGGAGCTCTCTCCATCAAGAAACTTACTGTATATATATATATATTATCAGATTAGTTAGAGTCAACTAAGAAAGTACCCTGCCAAAGTCATAGAGCAACAGGGGTTGCTGTTGTAGTGGGTGGTATGTCCAGGCCTTCCTCCTAGAGCTGCCAGGTGTTGACCATTTTCTCGGACAATCAGGAGTACATGCGCTCATTGGCCCGAACCATCGGCTGCTTGGAGCTGTTTTGTGGTGTTTTCGGTGGAAACTCCCAGAAGCTCCAGAGAAGTTCTGGGGTCGCCCAGACACACTTTTTGGCCCAGTGCATCTCCAACGGATTAGGCTTCCGTTTCCACCCTTGCCATCAAGATCAGAGACTTTGAAGATCTTTGAGCCAGACTGCGGTACGAACACGTAGTCAAGTAGCTCCAGCATGCATGCTCATGTTCATATTGATTGATCATTGATTGACCTTATTGTCATTTGTGTGTGTGTCCTCTGACCTGTAACAATCAATAAAAGACTATAAAAGATACTCATTTTTTGAGAAAGGCCTTTATATACTAACCATCATCATCCATTGTTACAGGGAATGGGATACACCCAACATGTGGCATCATGCGGCAGGACATGAGTCCCATGGGGCGACCCTTTTTGCTTTTGCGAGACGCAAGCTGCTTGACCACTGGGCGGCTGTCTACAGTACAACATTGTTGGTTAGTTTTCCGATGCTCAGAGTCGCCCGGACCAGCCCAGATCAGATCCTCCTGCAGGTGGGTCCTGAACTGGTTCCAGAATGTTCCATAGGTTTCCTCGAACTCCAAGCTATCTAACTTGTCCTTTTGCGGATAAGTTCGGACCCCTTCATCCATCTTGTGGTTCTATGTGTAAATGATATGAATCCATTGTTCTTGCTCCCCTCCCATTATCCCAGACCATCCATGTATGGAATAGTTCATAAATACATACAACTCCATCTATTCTGACCCCAACTAATTCTAGTTTCACAAAAAAAGAAACCTTTTGGGTTTAGAACCTCTTGAGATCTTTGGAGTGATCTTTGGACATCAACGAGGCCTGCTCCGGGGACCGAGCGACCTGGCGCGCTGCTTTGAGCCCTTGGGCGACGTGCCGGCAGAGCACCTGGAGACCGCGGAGACCCGGAGAGCACGTGGCGGTCTAGAAGCAGACCATCCAAGTAGCAGCACTTGTGCACAATAGCTAAGTTTGGAAGAGCTTAGTAGGGAACGGAGTATCATGACAAAGTTTAGCCTTAGCCAGGTAAGGGGGCTGAATGAATGAATATGTTCAGTTGGGCTTGTCGCAGAATGATGGCTCCAGAAGAGAAACTCAGAAAATTCAACATCTAAGGAAGAGATGTGTGGCTTGCTCATATGCCAGGAACCTAGGGGACCTGTTCATGTGAAGGCTCAACCGTCAACGGGTCCTCAACGACCGAGTTTTGGTCCAGTCCTTTGAGCAGGAAACCGCTGATGTGTACGTGACCTTTGTCCACCTGCCGCACTTTCCATGAGGGGCGAACAGTTTTTGGAAAGCAACATGCTTCAGCAAGCAAGACGTTGGAAGAGCCTTATGTGATGTTGTAGAAGACCCATGTTTGGGTCCCTATAGCACATTAATCCAGGTTGTGGTGGGGTTGTGGCATGGGCATACTGTGTTCCGTAGTGAACAGTGCTAAGGTTATAAGTTATAAGTCAGACTATACAGACTATAAGATCATGTAGGAGACCCAAGTACGACTTCATGTTGCTGACCAAGTCACTGGAAAGCGACGTTTTTAGGCCAAGGGTGTCCGGGTGAGGAAGCTGGCCATGTGGTTCAGGCCGGGCTCAGCCGGGCAAATGGCTATGATGGGGGATGCCGATCTCCATGACCTCAAAGTGGATAACTCGGATGGATCATCCAAAATCATCCATGGTACCATCACATGTTTCTTTTAAACATAAATCATGTATTATATAGTATATCATGTCCCAACTGTGGAGGACTACCCATCATTGGTCTTTGATCATGTGGATCCAAGGGTACCAAACAAAGCATCCACAACAAATGTATGACCCCCTTGGTGACGTCGCGGCCGGGGTACGTTCAGCTCGGGTTTCAGGAGTTGAGCGGTCCGAAGCTACGGCGTCAGAAGCGGTTTCAGAGTAGGCACTGGCACCCAAAGAGGTCCTTAGAAACCACCTCACTTGGGGAGTGTGCCATCTACTCTGGTTTAGAATCAACTCAACGTCCGACACGTGCATGATCCACTTCACCCTGCCTTGTCAAACGCACAGGGCCACGCCATTGGGTGCCCAACAAGAAACGCCTCGAGTTGACTGCATGACTGCATCCCTGGCATCACAGCCAGGCCTCCTCTCAGTTCGATCGCTTTTTCCAGCACGGCCAACATTTGGAGACACGGCGGCGTGCGGTGACGCTTTTTTGGGATGGAAAGGGCGATGGAGATGGTGCTTGAAGGAAGATTTGATGGCTTGGTGTCACACATTGTCATACTGCTTGGGTTTTGCCTGCAAGCCTTGTATTGACAATAATACACATGTACAGTAGTACCATATATATAGAATTGGTTTGGGCACTGTTTTATCAGCGTTGTTGTGTTCTTGGAGGGCAAACATCAATATGTGCAAATTCAGCTTGGGTGCCTTCAGCCAGACCAGCCTAGGCCTAGAACCTACTAGAAACAGAGAGAAGCCTCGTTCAGCAGATGTTGGCGGTTTCCAATGTAGTTCTTTGGTGCTGCGACTGCAAACGTGATACCCGACTATTTGCATACACCGATGGTGCCTCTCGATCCTCTCGGACACCGTTGTGTTGTGGTGCAGATTTTTTTTAGCGTGCGGGTGCAGAGGGCGAAGATTTGAGCCATGACTGCTTGAGCAGGCAAGTGCGATCCTAAACCGTTGGAGAACAACATATCATCAGTTCCTGAACATCATCGACTTTTGTACGTGCTTGTCCGACGTGAGACCCCCACGAGGGGTCTCACACCAAGCCTGAGTGTTCTGTTAGGGGATGCCAACCATCAAAGAAAAGACATCAGGGTTCCATGCATTTCTCATTGAGCCCTTCCACTGAGGACCGCTTCTACCTTGCTGTGTGCAAGGCGCCCGGAAGTTGAATGGACAGGACTGACTTTGGGGCCACTGGGCCAGATTCTCAACCTGCTAAAGCAAATCTGACAATAATAAATCTATTACATTACTGTTGTGTCCACCAGAGGTGGCTTTATTCTAGAAATCAACAAACTTGAAAAAAAGAAGCAAACAAAAAGCACACCAAAGAGCAACCAAGAAAGCAAAAAAACAGCACAAAAAAGTGCAACCAAAAAAGCACAAGCAAAACACAGAGCGTAGTTTAGGGGGGCCAAGTAGGGTTAGTACTGGACAAGGATCTTTGAGGTGCCGGGTCAAGTGTCGCACTTTTGGTCGCTGTTTTTCCGGCGCCGGGTCAGAAGTCCCCCTTATCGCTTTTTGTATCTTTCTTTTTTTCGGCGCCGGGTAAAAAGTCGCACTTTTTGGTCGCTTTTTTTTTTTCGCTTTATATATTTTTGTTGTTTTCTTTTTTTCGCGAGCAAAAAACAGGGACCAAAAGTGCGACTTGTTACCCGGCGTCGGGAAAAAAAAAACAAAGCGACCAAAAGTGCACCAGAAAGTGGACCCTCACCCAAAAGTGCGCCAGAAAGTGCCCAAAAGCGTGCCAGAAAGTGCGCCAGAACGTGGACCCTTCCAAAAAGTGCTAAGCCCGGCTGAGTTGTTCCAGTTTTGCTTGCAATGTTGTGTGTGTGTTTTTGCTTTTATGATTGCTTGTGTTTTTCTGGCTGCACTTTGTGAGTGTTTTTTTTTGCTCTTGTTGTTGCTTTTGTGATTGCTTTTGTTTTTCTGGTTGCATTTTGTGATTGCATTTTTGTTTGTGTTTCTTTCAACATGATAAACTTCTAGAATAAAGGGGTTTGGCAGACACAACATTACTGATTACTGTATCGCCTTCGTGTGATTTGAGCAGAATAGCTTTGGCTTTGTGGCAACTACAGTATATAGTCTATAATATAGTAGCTCTTTGGGCCTCCATGTTGTTGCAGTTGGCAGGGCGCAACAACAGCGACCTGCACTGGCCGTTTGCGACGCAGGTGCCCATGGAGTAGCCGCGAAGTGGCAAGATCTACGGAGCATGGAGCGAGCTCAAAAGTTGGGCTTTGCGGCCAGGGCAGCTGCTGACATGTAAAGGCGGGTTCGAAGCCCTTGGCCTGGACTGAATCCCATGAATTGCATGATCTGCAGTGTTCACCAAGAACTTCCTCTTCTGGGCACGGGTACGTCTTTGTGGCCTGATTGAGACCGATGCGTATATACAAGCATCCCATGCAGGGAGGGTGAGAATCTAAAAGGATGTCCGATTGATATATTTGGCAACGCTCATCCCAACACTGTGATGCTCCTATAGTTAAACAAGCAACAGAAGCCAGGTTTCCTTAAATACGGCCTCCCTCTTGAAGTGGACCTAAGGCTGGATCAGCGGCGGGAACAGAAGAAGCAACTCCTCATGGAGCAAACATTGGCGGCCTTTCGTCGGAAGAGTATGCAAGAAGAGCGCAGGACAACATACTGTACCGGAACAGATGTGGGGAGTGAGAGGGGGACTGTTGGTGCGCTGAAGAAGCGTCTGAATAGCAAGTGGACAGAGTGAGACCAAGGGGTGGAAGAGATAGTGCTTGGCAGACAGATGATGATGATGATGATGATGATGATGATGATGATGATGATGATGATGATGATGATGATGAACATGCAGTTGTTTAGGGTTTAAAGCTAGACTTTCCCTGCAGTTCTACATGTTTTTGCCAGGAACAGCCAAGCAGGCACCACCCTCTCCGCTGTGGCATCAGAGAGCTCCCCAAAGTGGGGGGGCTTGCTGCGTGGGGTCAGATGTTGGGTGATGTCTTGGTGGCGCCTGAGCTTGGCTTGCATCCCCTGGAGGAAGTCCAACTCCCGCTGCAAACTCCTGTGCAGCATGCAATCCGTTCAAGGCGAACATGTTGTATAACAATACACGGCAGTGATATGCTGGAGATTTCGGCCCTAGATGCATTTGCCTTGTATTACCACGATCACGGAATCTGAAATAAATGAAGAGCGCTGAGATGCACTGAGCATTTCAAGGGGCTTTCCATCCTTGTCATGAACCACTCGCTTGACTGCAAACCAAAGAGTGGAAAACATTTGGAACACTTAGATTTGCCCGAGGATCTCCAGAAGGGGCTAGACCACGCGAATCCATGCCATACCATCCCTGAGGTTCAGAACGTGAGTGTGCAAGATGGGAATCAACAAAGAGGTGCGCCAGGCAGACATGATGCTTTCTAGAATGGAATTTTCCAGGGAGTTGACTATATTGATGTTCACTGTAACGAGGCACACTTGAGCGTGTGTTTACTGTGGGGAAGGCCGCCCTTCATGATGCCCTCATCGGCGACCCATAGGTTTCACCCGATAGTTAGGTGTTTCACAGGCTTCAAGCACATCCGTCGGAGGATGGTGTGCTGAAGGCAGAGGTGGCACCACAAAGAGTGTGGTGCCTTTGTGTACCGAGCAAGCCGGCTTACCAAAATTCTCCCAACTTGCTTGGCAGCGAAGCCGTGCTTCTGGGGGAAAGGGTTCCTTCTGGCAGTGGTACCCCAAAGAAGGCTGAATCAGCCTGCTACTAGCCAAGACTGTGCTACTTTAGCAGCTATAGCACTTATTTCGGTGAGTTTCTTTTGCTTGGCCTGGCTAGCCAGTCCTATCACTCAGTCCTTGTTACGTAGCCACTCTTGGGTGAGAAGAGCTACATCCTAGCCAGAAGGACGCAGGTTGGTATCATGTACTTGGTTGGCAGAGAACATGTCGCCTTGAGGCATCTGAAAGAGCATGGCTGGCTCACAGCGGAGGAGAAGTAACGCCACGCTGAGATTTGGATGAGTCAAGCAACAGGAGGCTAGATTGTTAAGGATGCATTTGACGTCGGTGTCTACTCAATGACACTTCATAGGGTCTTCATAGTAGTTAACTAATATATATAGTTACTAGTTAGATATACATGAACAAAAAGTTCAAATCAAAGTATTGACAATTGACATCCATGGGTTCCATCAGTGACAGTGAAGTGACCACGGACTCAGTCATTGTTCTGCCGGGACTTCCTGCGTGCTTGGCGGCTTGTCCCCTCGTGCCTGCGCGTGGATGTTAATAGGGCAGGCGCTCCAGATGCTGCGCAGAAGGTGAACACAAGAATGCCGCAAGAGCCTTGGAAATGCTTGCTCCATTTTGTTCCTAAGGTTCCTACCTGCGAGGACTCCAGGGAAAATTCCTGAACGTCTGTTGTGTCCTCATGTGTCCTTCTCATGTGTTCCCAGTGAATTGTTTGACCGAACGTACATAGCCCCTATTTCAAGCTGTGTTTGGAGGCCGTGGTGAGACGTCCAGCGCGGGCACCCAGCGCTCATGGGGATCGGTGGCCTCCCTTTTCGGTGGGTAGACATACCTGACATACCCCTGTCCCATGGTGATACAACATATCTTCCATGCAATACAAGAGTGTTGACCCAGGCCATATCCTCTGAAGGGGTGCGCCCCTCGAACAAAAGGTTTAACAAAACCATGAGGCCATCTTGATCCGTAGCAAAAATAGTCGGCCACACACACACACACGTTGGTTTCGAGCGGAAAAGGTGTTGAGGTGTTTCTTTCTTTCTGTTGGTTTGAGTCAGTGAGCTGAGGACGCAAGCAACAGAGGTGAAATCATTAATCAGTTGTGGTCAAGTTTGCCTCATGATGAATGATGCTGAACGGAGTCGAATGATCAGAATTTTGGCAGGTCTCGACAACGGTGAAACTGTGCAGCCCCATCTCTCAGATTGATCTTTTAGTGCATGCTGCATGACAGTGTACCAACAGTTCTGGAAAGGCTTGCCCAGAATAAACATCCCAGCTTATGGAGTTCTTGTTGCTTTTCCCAAAAATCCTAAAGTGAACTGCAACGAAGTGACATGGGAACCTCAGCTTTGATGCCTGGAGGCCTTGCCCTTTTTCCAGATCAGGGAATCCTCAGACCGGGCAGGTGGGGCGAGACCTCCCGTGCGGTCTCGACCAGCCAGTGATGGTTTTGCCGTGTGCAGAGTGGGTCGCTTGGGCCGGTGTCACGTCTTTGAGGGGTGGAAACCGGTGCAGAGTTCAGTTTTCAATAGGTTTCAGGACGGCAGGAACGGCAGGAATATAGTGACACTGCAAGAGAAGAGACAAGCTTATCTCCCCAAAATGAATGGATGGTTGGGTAGGGACATTTTGGGATTTGAAACATGTAGGGGTAACTCCTGATATTGATTCCATTTTGGCTCAAGATCAGGAGGGATGTGTTTTTTTCCCCACAACTTCATACCTGCGGAAGCGCTCAACTTCTGTTTTTTGAGCAAACAGTTCCTCCTCATCAATGGCTGATGGACCCAACAAATGCCTTCCGAAATCCCAAGTGGAATTTATATACATTGCCAAAACTGGTGTTTGTTGAGCCAGGCCATTGACTCCTTCTAAATTTTCGTTTAGTATACACAATGATGCAGCACAATATAGATATATGTGGTTGATTAGGTTACATAAGCACGCTTTAAAACACATTTTGTTTATAACTACCGGTTCAAGAGTACAGGACACTTGATCAAACTCCCCCACCCAGTATAGAACCCTATCGGTGCCCCCCTGTGAAGACCTATATGAAAGTATGAAAGGGTGACATGTACTCCATAGGAGTTGCAAGGTTCTCCTTGACAAGTCCATTACGCACAGGCCCTGGTCCACATCCCCGCCGGCAGATCAGAAGGTGCCCTGCAGAGCTGGATGTGATAGGAGATCGACTATATAAATTCGGGGAGGTGCCCAATCCTGTCATGTTCCACCCTGGTGAACTTGTACTGTTTGGGAGCTTTGTGTACACCATTCACAGACTTGTAGTAAAGCTTGGGGGAATGCCAGCAAACAACACTAATTGCTTTTTGTTGCTTGCAAGGTTTAGGTGGGTTCATGACACTGAGGACATGCATGGACGACCCACGTACTGCACCCCCAAAACCATTCGGGCAGCCCGATGTACAACCGCATTTCTTGCTTGGTGATCAGACGACAATCCACACTATTGTTTGCCAAGCTGTGTATTATATATGTATTATATATTTACAAGAGAAATGATCGTACGACAACTTCAGTGGTAAAGCTCAAGCAGAAGGTACCAGATACTTTAGGACAAGGCGACATTTGAGCACTCAGCTCTGAGGAGCAAGCACACCAAACCTCATATCACACCAAACCTTTGGCCAACTTCCCGACTCTGGAGCAAATGCTGATGCTTTGAAATATGCTTGCTTGTGTGCATGGTGTGTTTTGGCTTGCGATGTTCACATGGTTTCTTGGCTCTTTGATGCAGGCTCGGTGTATACTAGCTCTTGGTGCAGAGAGGTGCTACCAGTACTGTAGGTGCACAGAGTCCGGAACCTCCGGGGATACAAACAAAGGCGCATAGAGAATTCCTACAGACGCACAACGATCATAGAGATCCAGCCCATAAATAATGCAAACAAAGGTAATGAAACCAAACATAGAGTGAACCGTCCCTCAAGCAAATGAAATTTGAACATTTCTTTTGTTGGAGCTCACTTCTGTTGGGAGCCACTCACAAGAGGGGAAATTGTTGCTCCTTGATCTGACTTCCACCATGGCCAGGGCACTCTCGCTTTTCTCCATCTTTGCCACCAAGAGGTGGCCCAGATGGACAAAGATGGCGGACAATGACTTGGGAGGAGAAGCATCAATCCCGGAACCTCATAATGTAGGTTTTCAGATTGTCGTTGCAAGCCCGTTGTTGATTGAAAGGCTTGGCTCCACAGGAATACTGAAGTCATCTGAAGTCTAGCTTTTGAATTGGTAATTATTCTCCGTTAAAAATAGTTCCCAGCGACATGTCCGAGTTTTTCCAATCCACGATTCGATGGGTGATGTGCAGGGTGTTGGTCCGTCTAGAGTAGTATATCAAGAGCAGGTGTCATTTGCAAGCTAGAATTGAGATTTTTGGTGCAGCACCCACTCCATGTGCTGCGGCCATTCCAGTCTTGAAGATTTTGCGGACCACCCTGTGATGCGCACCTCAACCAACAGGGTTTGCACAGTTCTTGACGGAAAGTCCCCACAGTTCTGCACGGGTGACATCCGTTCTATTCCGGGTTTCCTCTAGCAGGGATGACCGTATAGCGTTGACACTTGAGCACATCCTTTCTGGATATGTACATCCTTGGGCACTGACCCAGTCCGTTGTTCTTTCTGCAGACTTGGAGGATCTAGATTTAGATCATCGTGCGGCACTGCCAATTCATCACAACCCACAACCACGTCCATGATCAGCAGCCGTTGAGGTACCTTACACGTCGAATGGCAGGCCGAAGGGGGAACTTCCGGCGGAACATGAAGGGCCCACAATCCAGCCAAACCAATCATGATCATGAAGCA